GTAAAAGGCTCAATCATAAAGGCATCTTTATTTGCTTAACGGCACATCAACTACATATGGGTCATTTAATGCCGAAATTTAATTTTCTTGGGAGATTTGAATTTCTCTTGCTTTTAATAAATATTGATTTCTTGATATTCTTTTCTTGTTTCTTTTCATCTTAGTCTTTTCTTTTTTGACTTACGTTGTTGGACAAAATTCGTTTTTTGGAATAATTCAAATAATTGTCTTGTAATACTGTGTCTCTGAAGTATTTTCTTTTTGATTAGTATTTCTTTCATCGGAGATGGCCAAGGATGACAATCTTAAGTTGTCTGAATTTCAAACGCCTTTCGATATATCTTGAGCAACAGCTTTTCCACAAGTAGTAATGACGTTGAGCTTTCATTAGTATTTCTTTCATCTTATTTCTCTTGCTTTTCGTAGTAATAGTCCCAATAGGCGCCCAAGAAACTTAAGGGCCTGAATTTCTTTTGAGGCATTGAATGTTTTTGATGAGCCATTTTTTTCCCCAACTGAGCTGTTAGATTTCTTCAGACAGAATATTCTTTTTTTGAGATCAGCTTTTACCAAAGTAATAGTCTGGTCATCGAAGGTTTGAGTAATAGTCACCAAGCTTAGTCTGGTTGACTTATATGAAGCCTTGTCAATTGTTATTACTGACTTTATAGCGAAGAAAATGTTGCGAATTGTCAATTATTATTCGTTTTTGACTAGTATTTTTCATTTATTTTCATCTTATTTCTCTTTCTTTTCCATTCCAAGTATTTCTTTAATAGTCTTAAGTTGTCTGAATTTCTTATATGAAGCCTTTCAATTAATTATTATTCATCTTTTTTGACTAATAATAGTCTTTTCTTTCATCTTATTTCGTTCTTGTATTTTTTCCACCAAGTAATAATAGTCTTAAGTTGCTTGAATTTCTTAGATGAAGCCTTGGCAATTATTATTCTTTCTTTGATTAGCTTTTCCACCAAGTAGTAATAGTCTTAAGTTTTCTGAATTTTTCATCTTATTTCTTTTCTTCTTTCTTTTCCACCAAGTAGTAATAGTCTTAAGTTGTTGAATTTCTTGAATTTATTATTCGTTTTTGACTAGTATTTCTTTCATCTTATTTCTCTTGCTTTTTCCCTTGTCTTAAAATTTCTTATTATTCAATTATTATTCGTTTTTGACTAGTATTTCTTTCATCTTATTTCTCTTGCTTTTCCACCAAGTAGTAATAGTCTTAAGTTGTCTGAATTTCAATTATATTCGTTTTTTTGAAGTATTTCTTTCATCTTATTTCTCTTGTCAATTATTATTCGTTTTTGACTAGTATTTCTTTCATCTTATTTCTCTTGCTTTTCCACCAAGTAGTAATAGTCTTAAGTTGTCTGAATTTCTTATATGAAGCCTTGTCAATTATTATTCGTTTTTGACTAGTATTTCTTTCATCTTATTTCTCTTGCTTTTCCACCAAGTAGTAATAGTCTTAAGTTGTCTGAATTTCTTATATGAAGCCTTGTCAATTATTATTCTGAATTTTTTTGACTAGTATTTCTTTCATCTTATTTCTCTTGCTTTTCCACCAAGTAGTAATAGTCTTAAGTTGTCTTTGAATTTCTTATATGAAGCCTTGTCAATTATTATTCGTTTTTGACTAGTATTTCTTTCATCTTATTTCTCTTGCTTTTCCACCAAGTAGTAATAGTCTTTAAGTTGTCTGAATTTTCTTATATGTAAAGCCTTGTCTGAATTTCAATTGTCAATTATTATTTTTTTGACTAGTATTTCTTTCATCTTATTTCTCTTGCTTTTCCACCAAGTAGTAATAGTCTTAAGTTGTCTGAATTTCTTTTTTATAGAAGCCTTGTCAATTATTATTATTCGTTTTTGACTAGTATTTCTTTCATCTTATTTCTCTTGCTTTTCCACCAAGTAGTAATAGTCTTAAGTTGTCTGAATTTCTTATATGAAGCCTTGTCAATTATTATTCGTTTTTTGACTGGTATTTCTTTCATCTTATTTCTCTTGCTTTTCCACCAAGTAGTAATAGTCTTAAGTTGTCTTATATTCGTTTTTTTTGAAGTATTTCTTTCCTTGTCAATTATTATTCGTTTTCAATTAGTATTTCTTTCATCTTATTTCTTTCATTTCCACCAAGTAGTAATAGTCTTAAGTTGAGCCTTGTCAATTATTATTCGTTTTTTGACTAGTATTTCTTTCATCTTTTCTCAATTAATTAGTTTCTGAATTTTTTTGAGCCTTGTCAGTATTTTCTTGAATTTTTCATTCTTTCTTGATTAGTATTTCTTTCATTTATTTTGCTTTTCCACCAAGTAGTAATAGTCTTAAGTTGTTTGAATTTCTTAGATGAAGCCTTGTCAATTATTATTCATTTTTGGCTAGTATTTCTTTCATCTTATTTCTCTTGTTTTTCCACCAAGTAGTAATAGTCTTAAGTTGTCTGAATTTCTTAGATGAAGCCTTGTCAATTATTATTCATTTTTGACTAGTATTTCTTTCATCTTATTCCTCAATTATAATTCATTTTTACTAGTAGCTGTCGTCTTCTTATTATTTTTCTTCTTCTCCTCCTCCTCCTCCTCCTCCAGCTCAACCATCTACCTACTAACTAGGCTCGACGTTGCTTAACATCGGTCAATAGATATATCATATTATAATCCTGCTTCTTCCTTAGTTCCTGAGTTACGTCACGCCATGTCTTTTCCCTCTTCACTCGCGTTTTCATCGCGAGGCAGATGGAAAAGATATATCAAAAATATTGTTTGGTTTTACTCAGTAAAAGAAAGAATGAATGGGGATGGAAGAGGTGATAAAGCTGCCATTCTTTAAGATCTGCTTCTGTGAAATAGAAAATCCTTTCAATTTCAAATCTTTTCATTTGTATCTGTATACTTCTTTAAATAATGTCCTACATTCATACTGTAGTGAAGAAAATGGCGAATTACCTCGTCAACCCAAGCGACAGCGTGTCGCGTGTATAAATTATCCAGTAAATAATATTAATCATTTCACCCCAAGCAAGGCAATAAAGCCACTAAGACACAAGAGGCTACAGACTGTGAAAGAATTAGAAAAATAAAACATTAGTAAATAGTGAGAAGAAAAGAAGAGGAATTATTAAGGGTGTTTCCTCTTTTTAGTTGCGAGGTGTGAATGTGTTTCCGTAATAAACAGGTCATCGTATTTCCAGAGCATTCTCCATCAATAATGAGTGCATTGTCATTTACGGTAGGTAAAAAATGCCTCAGTAGAATATTTATTTTGTATAAGATATATAATTGTGATAAATGACCGAAGTCGGGAGGAAGGGTGTGGTCTTCACTGACTATCCTATTCCTAGTGTTGAGATGTTGGGAGTGTTTCCGCGTGCGTCTATTCAAATAAGGACAAACACATACGTAGGGAAAAATACTGGTATATTTGAAGAGGTATTTACAACAGCGAGATTAGTAGTAAAAATGAACGCAGGTTAGTAGTAATAATCAGCAAGAGTCTAAAGTCCAACGGTATCTTCCGGTAGAGAAACGGAAGTGTGATGGTCACCTGACCTCTCTGATCTCTGAGATCTCCCCAGAAGTCTCTAGCACTGTCCTATATCGTAGAGAGATCAGTCCATTCTCATGAGAAGGTGGGTGGCCCCAACACCTAGTTAACCACAACCACGACCCATTAATTCAATATCATATACTCAATCACAACAAGAACGTGTCCATCACCCCATAATCCTACATGCACCACAATACCATATATTTACAAAGGCCCACAAAAACACCCCATGCTGTAAAAAGAAAAGTAGAAACACTAGTAGTTGCAGGAGTCTCCCTTAAAGTTTCTTAATATTGTGTGAACTCTCCAAGTTGTCGACGAATAAAAAAAAATGATCCGTCGATAAAAGCAGTTGGTGTTCTCAAATGGGGGAGAAAAATGTTTAATTTGCTACCGCGTCCGTCGGCAAGTGTCTTATTTTTTTCTTACAGTTTACGTGCACTGGGGTTTGTGACCTGCAAATCGAGATTTTAACATTTCTTTCTAACCCTGATATACGAGTTTGGATTTGTGATTTCTTTTATTTGTTGTGGAAGTAATCTGTGACATCACCCTCTGAACAGGAATTTAATTATAGAACGACGAAACAGACGAGTGAGTTCGATCTTTGCTGGATACTATATATTTTCTCTTTCTTTCATTCACCCATGGCTCTTGTAAAGGTAATGGATAGCAAAAGGATCCAGCTAATTACTGGAACGGTCCAGGCAACCAAGTATTTATCCAGTATCCTTACCCAGGGATCGTATGTACGAGTTCCACTTGAGATCCAGGTTGTGTTTAAGTCCCAGAACGTGATCAAGTCACGGGGCCTTCCCTAGAGAACTCCTGTTCATCGCTTTCAGCGAAAATTCAGGGCCCGCTCGATGGTGATGGAACGTCAAGAGTTGAGTTTTCGAGGCACTGAATGTGACAAGCTATTTTTCCCCAGCAGAGCTGTTAGAGCTCAGACAGAAAAGAGATCAATTGCCAAGCTCTGGTTTTCGAAGGCTTGAGTAATAGTTAGCGATCTATTCTGGTTGACCGTTATTACTAATCAGTGTGTTCGATCTTTGCTGGATACTATATTTTTTTCTTTCATTCACCCATTTCACTTCAGGTCGGGACACACCCTAACATTTTTTAAACTCTAAGCGACATTTGACTCCGTGTTATCTCTTCAAACTCTCTTCTCTGTTGCCTATTTACAGAAACTCGTTAGGTAGGTTACTCGATCTTTCCTTTGCCTCGCTTGCCTTCAATACGTCCCGTCAGTGTCAAATTCGCCGAACATTTTTTCCTCATTTCTTCAGAAACTTTAAATATCTTGTAAATATCAACTACAGAAAGACGTTTTCTCCTTGACACTAGATTATGACGAGGACGGTCGACTGATTGGGGGTCGTTTCTTTCGTAGGGTCTGCTCTTCATTCCTGCCATCGATTGCATTCTCTTCACGTTGTGACATGTATCAAACTTATCGTTCCCTTATTTTTAACGGCAAACGAATGAGTGACGACATATTGCCTAAAGTGGGATATTTTTATTGTTTTGTTTCTTTTATCGTCTCTTGTCAGTTCCAAGGCGTCGCTCTGTCAACGGATTGTGTGACACATGCTGAGACGAGTGATACGCAGAAAGGGAGAAATCGCTTAAGGATACGGAAGTTCTTCGTTGAAATCTCGCCTCACTGGTCTGGTCCAGCAATAAAATAGAAGTCACCAGAATATTAAATCACATTTCATTGATATGTCAACAACTGTAAATAGCTTTTGGAAATTCTATAAATCAATATAAATGTTTTTTTTCAGTTATTTTAAAGAATTTAATGGACTTTATTTTTAATCCAAGATCATTTTATTTTTTAATCTAACATTATTTTAGTTTTAATCTGTGCTCATTTTATTTTTAATGCGATATCCTTGTATTTTTTAATTCGACAACATTTTATTTTTAATCCGAAATTATTTTACATTTAATTCGACATCATTTTAGTTTTAATCCGTGATCATTACGATATGAAATCAATTATATATACTTTTATTTTTTTGGAAATTCTATAAATCTATAAAAATGTTGGTTTTTCAGTTATATTTAAGGAATTAAATGGACTTTATTTTTAATCCAAGATCATTTTATTTTTAATCTGAAATTATTTTAGTTTTAATCCGTCATTATTTTAGTTTTAATCCGACATAATTTTATTTTTAATCTGTGATCATTTTATTTTTAATCCGGCATCCATGTATTTTCTAATTCATCATTTTATTTTTAATCCCAAATTATTTTATCTTTAATCCGACATTATTTTAGTTTTAATCCGAGATCATTACGATATGAAACCAATTGTATATAGTTTTATTTTTTTGGAAATTCTATAAATTTATATAAATGTGGGTTTTCTCAGTTATTTTTAAGGAATTTAATGGATTTTATTTTTAATTCGGAATCATTTTATTTTTAATCCGAAATTATTTTATTTTTAGTCCGATATTATTTTAGTTTTAATCTGCTATCATTTTATTTTCATCCGGCATCATTTTATTTTTAATCCGAAATTATTTTATCTTTAATCCGTCATCATTTTATTATAAATCCGAAATTATTTTATCTTTAATCCAACATCATTTTATTTTTAATCCGAAATAATTTTATTTTTAATCCGACATTATTCTACTTTTAATCCGACATCATTATGATATGAAATCAACTGTAAATACTTGTATTTTTTGGAAATTCTATAAATGTCTATAAATGTGGGTTTTCTTGGTTATTTTTGGGGAATAATTGAATTTTATTTTTAACCCGAAGTTATTTTATTTTTAATCCTCGATCATTTTGTTTTTAATTAAGCATCCTTTATCTTTACTCTAAACGTTTTCTTTTTAGCGGATACTCATGTTTAAGTAGACGTTCCGTTTTTTTTTTTTTTTTTTTGCTTTAACAGTGTTAAATACAGCTACCGGACAGAGGCACGACTTCATTCCTTTATACACTGAGTGATTGCTTTTTCTTGCATTTTTATTTGGAATTGCTATTTTCAAAAAAAACCTGTTCTATTTGGTTCAGTTAAATAATAAAGAGAGACTTAACGAAAACATGCTCTGCGACATGGATCAAACCTACGTCAGCCTTTGTAACTTTCAGATGGTGGTTTCTTCTCAAAATGGGGATGAAGGTTCGAACGCGGCTGAAGAGCACATACTCTTTATTAAGTCTCTGAAATACGCAAGTCGGTAGACATAATCACACTGTTTTTTTTTTGTTTTGTTTTGTTTGTCTTTATAAGTTGTGTGTCTTTATAAGTTGTGTGTCTTTATAAGTTATGTCACAGGTGACGACACTGAAAATATTAAATTAGGGGTACAATAGAGGATAGTTTTCCTGATTTAAGAATTATTTTAATTATGTTCTGTACATATTGTCACATTGTCAAACGTAAATAATAAATATTCCTCGAACTACATCCTACGGCCGGTTGTTGGTGGTGTAAATTATTCCGGATCTGAACTGTTTGATTCTTAAAAAAAACAACTGCGCAATCTCCGACAGAAAAGCTAGTTTACCTCCTGTCATCCGATTGGCTGATCAGTGTGACAACTAACCAATCAAACAGTGCCTAATATCTCAACTCTAAACATTTTATTGAATTTCGCTAAGCGACGAAGATTAACAACATAGAAATATAATTTCTTGAGTTTTCAAAATAGCATTGAAACGACGATTTTTATTATATATAAATATATATAAATTTATATTTATATATATATGTATGAAATGGACAAAGTCCGACAATTATTTTTAAGACATTTTTTTTATGTTTATACGTTCTTTTTATAGATACAAATATTTAAGTAAATGCTCTGTTTATAATAAACATTATTAACATTTACCGGCCTGAATGTCCGAGAAATTTTCAAAGAAAATATGCGTCCTCCGATAAATGCTGTTAATAATGTTTATTATAAACATATCTATATAAAGAACGTATAAACATAAAAAAAAATGTCTTTAAAATAATTGTCGGATTTTGTCCATTTCATAATGTGTGACATCATTTGGATACGCTTTGAGCAGATATGAATGTACGCGAGAAAATCATGAAAATTTAGTTTAAAAACAGTAAAATCGACCTTACTAACCGAAACACTCCTCTGTGGCTAAATCGGTTAAAGCACGTCAGGCTACATGACGGTTCCGTATAGGATACAGGTTCGATTCCTATCAGAGGACGCTGACCTAAGATGGAACAAATAAATTGAATCAATAGCTTCATCTACTGCAAGGAAAGTTGGTTCTCTGTGTCGCGCCAGAAAGTTTTCCTCGCCTGAGTCCATCCTTCAAATGTATAAATCAACCATTCGCCTTTGCATGGGATACTGCTGCCATATATGATCTGGTGCCCCTACTGTTCGTCTTAAGGTCCCCGACAAAAACCAGAGACGGATATGCAATTTGATTGGTCCTGATCTGGCATAACGTTTACAGTCACTCTCTCACAGACGTGCCGTCGCTTCCCTCTGTCTTTTCTACAAATACTTTCACGGTAACTATTTTCGCTGGTTCCTTAACTGCATGAATTTAAACGTGACACTAGGGTGCCATCTCAGTCCCATCCTTTCACTGTTGAAATGGTTCAATGTAGCAATCTCTTCTATAATAGCTTCATGTCTCGCACTTCCCGTCTGTAGAACTCCCTTCCTCTTACTTGCTTCCCTGATAGCTATAATCCCCAACTATTCAAATGAAATATCAATCGACATCTCCGGATCTATTCCCCGACCTTCACTTCATCCTATCCGCTATCATGCCTCTTTACTCTTGCTCCCACTCTGTGCAACCCCTTGCGTGCTGCTGGAACTCCCGCTTTACCTAAGGTGAAATGCTTAAAAGAAATATTTTTAAAAATTATCATCCTTTGATGTGATAAACAGTTCAAATGCTTCGATTACCTCTTTCTTATTGGAGAATGTCTTATTGCGTACGAAAAGCTCAAAATGCTTAAATAAGTAATAATAAGTAGGAGAGATATCAGGTGAATATGGAGAATGAAGTAAGATTTCATAATTCAGGCTATACAGCTTATGGACAGCTGACTGAAAAGCGTGCGGCCATGCGTTGTCGTGCAGTAAAATTCGGCCATCCTTATTCACATGTCTAGGATGTTTCTTTTCCAATTTTTCCTTCATACACTCAATCTCTCTACAATACGAGATATCTGTTATGGATTTCCCTTGAGGCTAGAATGAATAATGGATAACCCCTTTGAAAGACCACCATAGAGTAACCATTAACATTTTAGGGTGAGTGGAGGTTATGGTTATTGTTTTACTGATTCTCCTGCATCTAACCCCTGGCCTACTCTCTTAATGTTGTGAAAGAGTATCCATTTCTCATCTCATGCAATGGTTCAGTGCAAAAATGGTTCTTTTTTCCCTATTTGTACTCATACAGTAAGATTACTCAACATTGTTTCATTGTAATCATTTTCATTCGGCTTTTCAGTAACAATATATTGAAAGAAAAATTATCAGGAAAGAAAAAGAGTCAAGAATAAGTCAAGATTTTTTATTTATACTAAGGAGATTACTTACTTGGTTAGACGACTGGATCAACAACTAACCAAAAAAATGTCCCATTTCATGTGTGACAGCCTGATATATCTATCCTAGTCTGTTCGTATCTATCTATCTATCTATCTATCTATCTTAGTCTGTTCGTATCTATCTATCTATCTATCTATCTAGCTAGCTAGCTATCTATCTTAGTCTGTTCGGATCTATCTATCTATCTATCTATCTATCTATCTATCTATCTATCCGAATGGGTTCATTATCTATCTGAATGTGTTAATTATCTATCTATCTATCTATCTATCTATCTATCTATCTATCTATCTATCTATCCGAATGGGTTCATTATCTATCTGAATGTGTTAATTATCTATCTATCTATCTATCTATCTATCTATCTATCTATCTATCTATCTATCTTTCCGAATGGGTTCATTATCTATCTGAATGTGTTAATTATTATCTATCTATCTATCTATCTATCTATCTATCTATCTATCTATCCGAATGGGTTCATTATCTATCTGAATGTGTTAATTATCTATATATCTATCTATCTATCTATCTGAATGCGTTCATTATCTATCTATCTATCTATCTATCTATCTATCTATCTATCTGAATGCGTTCATTATCTCTCTCTCTCTCTCTCTCTCTCTCTCTCTATCTATCTATCTATCTGAATGCGTTCATTATCTATCTATCTATCTTTCTATCTATCTATCTATCTATCTATATATCTGAATGCGTTCATTATCTATCTATCTATCTATCTATCTATCTATCTATCTATCTGAATGCGTTCATTATCTATCTATCTGAATGCGTTCATTATCTATCTCTCTCTCTCTCTCTCTCTATCTATCTATCTATCTATCTATCTATTTGTTCATTTTGAGTAACAAAAGAAAAATTATCCGGAAAGAAAAAGAGTCAGGAATAAGTCAAGATTTTTTATATAATAGAGAGGTTATTTCGTTAGACGACCAGATCAATAACCAACCAAAAAATGCGTCATTTCATGTGTGACAACCTACTAATAAAATAATAGAAATAATCACGTTATTATTATTATTATTATTATTATTGTTGTTGTTGTTGTTGTTACTGCTTTTGGTCATTTATGCAGAGGTGAATATTGTTTAAACATTCACCCACCCCCCACCACCACCAAAAAAAACAAAAAAAAAAAAACAAAAAAAAACGAAAAAATCACATGTATATTTTATGGATTTTGTCAAATTGTCAAATCTTGGGAAGGAAGTCAAGTAATGATCGTTTCAGTATTCCCGAGTAAATCCATTATTTTTTTTTTTTACTTTGATTTCTGTTTTATACACATTTCCTTCCGGGTCCCAACAAGAGAACTAAGTTCAGAAATCGCTTTTCCAGATTTTCCATTGAAAAGATTTTTGTAAAAAAACAAAAACAAAAAAAACTAAGATCACACACATTTTACATACATAAATTACTTCGTAACGTGTGAGCTGTAATCCTGAGTACATTTTTTGTATTTCTTTAAGGTATGTGCTGCCAGAAGAACCTTTATTATTATTATTATTATTATTTTCCTTGATTTCTGGCGTTTACACATTTCTTTCCGGGTCCCGTCCAGGGACCTAAGGTTAGAAATGGCGTCATGACACTTTCCACTGACAAACAAAAAAAAAAAAAAATTAATTACATAGATAAAGCCCTTCGTAAGGTGTGGGCTGTACTTGTCAGAACAATTTTTTGTATCACTTTGAGGCATGGACTTCCAGGAATCCCTTCAATTAGTCTACTGCAATCTTTTCCAACCAGTCATAGGGCTCCAACTACAACAGGGATTGTTGATGTTCCCATATGCTACATTTTCGAGATTTCTATTTCAAGGTCCTTGTATTTTGACAGCTTTTTGAATATCTTCAAAGATACATTGCAGTCAGCAGGGACTGCCATGTCAATAAGGAGGCTATTATTATTATTATTATTATTATTATTATTATTACTGTTGTAATATTGTTAGTATAGTTGTATAAAAATATCGTATAGTATAGGGCTATAAATAATATCAGTTATATAGTGGTAAAAAAATTTAATAAATCAAGTAAAAATACAATAAAAAACAGTTATTAAAGCTTAGAATGTATACGTTAGAAATTAGGCGTTAAAATGTTAAAATAATTGTGCTTGTCTCTCTTTGTCAATTCGCACGACCGTTACGTCCTGCAAATACCTCATGAATAATGGACTCTTTCGTTTTGATCACGTGATAGGACAAGACATATAAGAGACGCTACTTGGTTTCAGTGCAAAAAAAGGAAAAAAAAGTGTTTAATACCTCATAATAATGGACTCTACTGTTTTGATCTCGTGAGAATTTGTGCATATTAGAGACTTGTTTTCAGTGAGAAATGAAAGAAAGAAGTGAAGACAGGTGTGTTTAACGTCAGCAGTTACCTTAAAAATAATGGACTATTCCGTTTTGATCGCGTCAAAAGAAAAAAGACATATCCATAACGCTACTTGGTTTCAGTGAGGAAATGAAAGAAAGAAGGAAAGATAGAAGTGTTTAACGTCTGTTTCAGTGAAATGGAAAAAGCCGTCAGTTTCAAATCTTTTCATTTGTACCCCCTTACTTCATAAATGACGACCAGTATTCATTTATGATTGTTATTGCAATATTTTGTTAAACTTGTTAAGCCCAAATATTTAATTTGATAGGGAAGTGTGCTTTGATGGTAGTGTACTTTTAAAATCCTAGATTTCACTATAGAATTTTTTTATCGTTACAATTTCAAGGATAATAAACTTAATATAAACGAAAAAAAACGCCAATTTTGTATTTACAAGGGAAGAAAAACGCCACTACAATATGAGATTTTAATGTAGCTGGGTTTGATAACTCACGTGTTTTCACTTCCTGAATATTAAATGGAATATATTTGCAGACAATTAAGAAACCTGGAATTTACACGGTTTTTGGTGTCATCTTACCCCGAAAAAAAACGGTAGCCATCTTTGTAGAAATGAACGAAACATACAAAATATCTCCGTAACAAACGAAATGACTTCGCCATTTTCTAGAATATGTTCAAGTTAAATAATTTCCTATGTTGGGAAGAGATTTACAGTCAGATGGCTGCGGACTAGGCGAGATATTACAGGTCAAAATTGTGTAGTTGATTACCACCTGCCTCTAAAGTAAGAACAATTCCTCCTTCTATCAGCTGAATATACGTAAATGGCTTGATATTTTTTACTTTAACGCGCAGACAGGTGAAAATGAACTCTTTAGAAATATAAACTAACACTACTCTACCAAAAATTGTTTAGAGCACTCGTTTAAGGATATTCACACTTTCTTCTTAAGAGACAGGACTTAGGTGACCATGAAGCTCCACAGCTTCCTTTTTAGTTAATATCTGTAAAAATACTCGGGATATTCGTTTAAAACTTATTGGATTGTTTTCTTTTTAGCTTTCTCCAGAGTTGCAAATAAAGAATTTTTCTTCTTCTAAAACTCTTGCTAACAAAGTCTGTCGAGCGGCACATTTAGCACAGCCAATTGTTGCGATAGTCAAAAAATAAAACTTCATAGATTTCCCAAAGGCATGAGTGTTAATTTGGTCTGTTACTGTCAGTGTTCCTTTAACTGGAGTACATTCCGTTACGGTAGATTTTCATTTATCTGTACGGTCCCATCGCCAGTCACCCGATGCCAAATGCTGAAAATCCCACCCTTCCTTTCTCTTTAATAATCATCAGACCCTCGACTCTTTTGATCGTCAGGGGTAACTGACTAACAAATTGTATTCTTCATTCCCATGATCCTTCCAATCGGTTTTCAGATAGCTTGGCGGCGCCCAACACCTCTCCAAGCTCTTGATCGAGAAACGACGACGATCACAGAATACGGTGTAGATCACTTATCGGTCCGTACACTACATTCAGCAAGTTATCTAAATATGTCACAAGCATCGAAATTTGGAAAATTACTCTAGTAATATTGTTTAGCGCCAAGAATCCTTAAACAATGTGAGAATCGTAAACTAAATGGATAAACACTAGAAAATATATATATATATATATATATATATATATATATATATATATAAATGACAGAAAACAATTTTCGCTTTTGAAACTCTCTTCTGGCTTCATGCTGACCAACAGTTCTGATCTTCAAAAAATTTAAATACAGTCTTCGGTCTTCTTAATTCCAGTTCTTTTATTGTCCTTTCTCATTAATAGTAGTTTTTCTAATATTCTTTAACACTCAGAAACCCCTTGCATCCTAGTGGCCTTTGATCTTCAAAAATTTAAATGCAATGTGAAACGTTATCTTCTGTCTTCTTAATTCCAGTTATTTTATTGTCCTCTCTCATTAATAGTAGTTTTTCTCATATTCTCTAACACTCAGTAGCCCCTTGCATCCTAGTGGCTTTATTGCCTTTGATCTTCAAAAATTTAAATGCAATGTCAATAGTTATCTTCTGTCTACTTTATTCTTTTATTTTCTATTGTTTTTGCCCATTAATAATGTTTTTTTTTTCTTATTCTTACACACTTAGTAAGCTATTGTGTCTTAGTGGCTTTATTGCCTTGCATGGGGTGAAATGAAAAGCAAAAACCAAATAGAAAATACGCATAAAATGCCTATTTTCGTTTAAATTATATTTTAAAACTTCTAAAAATTATATTTTAAATCTTGTGGATTTCTATGATTACAGCAAAGAACTTTTAGTGTTTTATTTACCTTTTAATTTAGGTACCTCGTGGGTCTGTCCGGGTTTTGACCATTTCCTCCTAACACTATGCTGCCTTATCACTTTGTCATATATTAACGATACTTTAACCTTCTCCTTGCCTTGGCTTACAGCCTTATCACGTTGAAACACCGATTCCCGTACGATCACACAAGTTCAGCAACATTGAGCCTGGATGGGTGACCGCTTGGTGAATATCAGATGCTCTAAGCTTGGATCTGAATGTGGTGTAATGGATAACGACACGGACTGGTTAATCGGAAAGCCGATTTCCAAATATACTTGGATTTGTTATATTTGTTGAAAGGCATGAACCCACATCTTCTTTCCCTAGCTATAGGTTAATTAGTAAGACTCGTGTCACTAAATTAATTATTTTCTCCAAAAAACTCTTGCAGTCGAAAAATATATCATGGCTTTAAATAACATGCAAAGGGTTGATAAGCCGTAAAAAAGAATCAATCAAAATATTTAGATTTCCGTATTAAATACACCGAAGATATTGATATGCCGCTAAACAAAATCATCTTAAACTTCCGATATGCATCCGTATCACGAGCGTGCGAACCTCAGACAGCCAGATAAACGCTTTACGGCAATCAAAACTCTGATGATAAAGTTCTGTTCATCAGCATTTAAAAACATTTTTAAAAATATTTAAAAATATTTAATACCATTAAAAAATTAATAAGATTTAAAAACATTTAATAACATTTTAAAAAAACATTTAAAGACATTTAATAGCATTAAAGAAATTAATAACATTTAAAAACATTTAATATTTTTAAACAAATTAATAACATTTAAAAATTGTAAAA